TGTTAGCCAATCACGGTGGAGCTTTGGGCCATTGAGCCATAATGTGGTGCTAAACAGCAGAGAGTTTAATGTGTGTTTTCTCTGTGGCTACACAGTAATTATCCACCTGCAGAGTTAAGCCTCACACTGTGTGTTTATGCCCACAAATCGAGCAGGCCAAGCTATCGGTCACATTATAAGCAACCCTCTTTGGACCAGAGGAACCTCTGACCATATGAAAGAAGAAACGCTCATCTTTGTTTCGGTATGTGATGTTCAATATGTAATAATAGTATGCATCTAAACTGCAACTTTGATAGAACACGAGGCAGAAAAAGAGTGAAGGAAAACAAAAAAGAAGTGCAAGACTGGTGCTTTTCCCCCCCCAAAATTTTTTTTGACAGTTTTATTTGTGTGTGTCTGTGTTTAACACACATTTCCAATGCCCGTAAGACCATCAAGAACTGTAAAATGACCGCTATGGTTCATAGAGGATTAGAGGTATTTGGAAGATGCTTATTCTTACCTCAGGCATGGGAATAGCACGTGTTTTGTTTTTTTTATCACGCGTGGTTTGCAACATTTGCAGCAAGTAAAATAGCCAGGTAACCATTTTTAGTCTCAGTACGGGTTAACATTTTCAGCATCTTTTTTTTTTTTTTACTCATTCACAAGGTTTTGTATATTTTCTGTCAGCAACACAAAGACATGTAGACACAAACGCAATACCTAATGGACTCCCCTCATCTCCCACCTCTGTTTTCAGTCTGTGTGAAAACCTAAAAATAGGGTAAGCGCTACCGGGCGCAAAAAAGTGCTTCCTGTTTTCCAAATCTATCCTGACATCCCAAATTTCCATGCGAGTCCACAAGTCTCCGTCAGCCACCGGACCGTGCAGGCTGCAGGGACGCGGTGGCGGGCTACAACGTGACGTTCAAGGTCCTGTGGGGCATATGGGAACTCAACCGTCCTTACGTCGCACTAGCCCGAGAAGGTCCGAATTCGGTCCAAAATGAGAATCTGCTGCTTTATACAGGCGACTTTATCCATGCGTGAGAGCGGAATCAATCCCTCGCCAACCCAAAGACAAAAGAACGAACACGCCGACCGCCGGCGGATTTACAGAAACTATTCATCCACTAAAGGGCTGTAATATACTGCATTTAGGCACATTATTGAACCGCGTGCATACTTACTGAGCATTTCCGTTCTCTGCTACTTAATGCTCCTTTCCTCTACAATTCATCTTCAGCTTTCTATTCGGCTATATTTATTTGACAGCTATAGCTGCAGATGGGAAACCAATAAAACATACAGAAGGGCTTTTATCACCTACACAGTGGTGGAAAAAGCTGTTTTTTTCTGAAAGGGATAAAAAAACATGGAGCATATTTGTTGACATGGTTAATTCTTTATGGAATGCATTATCTGTTTGGAATATGATTCGACATGAAACGTATATCCAGCATTGACTCTTTGCAACAAAGAGAGGACACAGACCCCCGGAGAGAGACGGGAAAAGAGTGCATTTCCGTTGGGACGGAGTGGATCACCATGCTCATTATGGCCCCTCTTTACCAACAGGTTCCATACTGTTCACGCAGCTGAGGCACGAAAGCGTGACGCTGAATAATGCTCAACGAGACAATCACAATCAATTTCTCGAAAAAAAAAAGGGACATTTTGTGACTCGAAAGAGGGACGAATGGAAAGCGGATGCACTTACTGCTTGGCAGATGATGGGGTATTTGATTCGATTGATGCCACCGGCGAACACGGCGAAGGTCAGCGCCGTGTGGAAACAGAAGTTGAGGAGCATATGCCATCCCTTCCGACTGATGCGGATCGCGCTGCCGAGAGGAGAGAAATGAAAGAGTGAGTAGATGCAAGCCACCTTCCTATCCATCCATCCATCCATCCATCCATCCATCCATCCATCCATCCATCCATTATCTGGGCCACTTATTCCTAGTGGGGTCATGGAGTGGCTGAAGCCCATCTCAGCTAACATTGGGTGAGAGGCCGTGTACAACCTGGACCAGCGCACACAGAGACAAGCAACCACACACACTCACATTCATTCCTAGGGGCAATCAAGAGTCACCAATATCCCCTTTTTATGTTTTATGGAAAAATCGAATTGATTCTAAATCAACCGAGAACCTTTCTGTGTGAGCTTTGCATGTTCTCCCTGTGTCTGCGGGGGTTCCCTCCAGGTACACTGGCTTCCTCCCACCAAGAACATGAACGTTAGGTTAATTGGACAAATTCCCCAAAGGAGTAAAACTGATTGTGTGGTTGTTTGTCTCTGCGTGGCCCTGTGACTGACCGGTGACCTGTCCGGGGGCTATTGCCCGCTGGCAGCTGGGATAGGCTCCGGCCGCCCCGTTGGGAATAAGCGGTGTAGGAAATGGGTGGATGGATACACTTTTGAAGATCAGATCCCATCCGTAACCCCGTGATGAAGTGCTTAAACTACCCCTTTCTCTTCAACTTCCTATTGCCATTCAGATTAACAACCACAGTAATCCAATAAATACACTGTTCATAGAGGTATTGTCAGCATTTACATACTCCATTGTCAAGCAGGAAAAAAAATACAAGAATATATTCAATTATACAGTTTATTCTATTCAAGGTTAAAAAAAAAATAGAAAAAAAAAAATCCTGACAAATGCCTATTTTTAGATGATGCTAAATTGAATGAGTTTTTTTTTTAAATGAAAAACCAAATATAATCAGACTGACAACTCGTTCCCGGTCTTTGCGACTTTTCAGACATCTGAGCCATTATTCGTTTTCCAACGTCAAGGAACTCAAAGAGGGGCGCATAATCACTCTGGAATCGCCACCAGCCATCGAAGCGACATCAATCATGGCCTGAAATTGTCCCCGATTCCGAGGCGGCGTTATGATAATGCCTCACGCTGCAGTCTGGACAGCGTAGCGACGGGGTGGAAACACAGGAGGCACTGGGCTGGCCTGCATGTGATCCAAATCTCTCACTAATTTACCAAGGAAGGACGTTTTTGGAGATGGCAGAAAAACAGGATGCAGAGGAGTCTAAAACAGCTCTATGTAATCATTGCTTTTCATCATTATGCATCATTTCAAGGACGGCGCTACGAAAGGGAAGAAAACAATTATTCTGTTTTGCTTAGAGCATATTATGTGATGGAAATATCATTTATTAACTGTTTAAATTAATCTTTGGGTTTAGATCAGCTATTTTATGATTCCTCTGTTTGTCTACTGGCTAAGAATAACACAGTCTTTTTTGTCTTTCTTTTCCCCTTTTTTTTATTACTTTTCAGCCTCCACAGTGTGGATATTGTTCAAAAGGAGCAATGGTTCATCAGGTTTCCTTTGAAAGAGCGGAAAATCAAAAAATATTCAAAGATCTGTGACACTCTCTGACAGAGATGGGCTGCTTTTAAGTTCATTCAGGCTGGATTTTCAGAGGACTGGCACATAAAGGATTGTAAGTTTGAAATCTTTGCACGGTAAAAAAAAAGAAAATCCATAGAATCCACATTAGCAGACCTACTTAAAAATGGGTGTGATGCTCAAATACAGAACCGCATGAAAAGATAGTGAAATAATCGACCTCATAAGAAAAAAAAAACAAAAAAAACGAATACCTCAGGCACAATTATTTGCAGTTTTTTTGGTGTCTCCTGAATTCAGTGTATGGTGGAGCATCCAACCTTCCCACACAAATTTCACCCACCTTCTCACATCCAGTACATGTAGTTATGAACGCACACAAACGGGGATCGTTTGAAGATGATATAAGAAGCGTTTTCCTTCCAGTTGGCCGGCGCAATTCAAGTTTGCATAATGTAAATCTGTGCACTCACATCCCCCTTTGTGAAACATGCCATCGACCGGGGTCTATACGAGCCCTGAGTGGGGCACTCAGCCCATAATATTGCCTTCCGTCCGTTTTGTTTCGGAAATGGGCTAAATGGGTCATACCAACATATTTGTTGGACGGCTTGAATTACCGGACCATCTAATCTTTTAATTACTTTCCCGCGTCGGCTCCCTCCCTTTTGTCCATTCACTCGGTGGCCCCATTTCAAATTACATAACCCTGGAGAGTCTTCGCTCCCCAAAATGGAGGAAGCAGGAGCCCCGGCTGCACGTGAGCCAACTGTAGATGAGGCACGGCCTCGGAGAGGGAGCCGCCAGGCGTGTCTGGGACCAGGCTTCACTGCCCGCCCGCAGACGGGAGGGAGAATCAAAGCTTCTGTTTTTTTTCTTTTTCTTTTTCTTCCCCGAGGCGTCTGTTGTGGTCCGGCAACTGTACGCCACCCGGCAAAGAGGCCATAAATCAGGACGGCCGCCGGCACTCCCTGGAAGGGGGGCTTTCATGGGCTCTGCTGTGGGCTTTCACTGGGTCAAGTACATTAACCTGGCAGCCCTCCATATCTCCATCTCCCAGAAGGGTTAGGGGGGATAAAACTGTCCCGGCTTTGCATCTGCTCCCTCCGCCCCGACGCCCGATCGCTCGGACAAATGTAAGGGACAATAAAGCTATGGACAGAGCCATATAACACATTATACGACGAGCAGTCCCGGCCAAGCCGGACCGGCCGCTAATGCCCTATAAACCGAGGGGGTACAACACATGACAAGCTCAGGCAGAAGTGGTTACATGCGCAGAATTTATGACGGAGAAGAAGAGGTAATACTGCAATCCGGGAAGGGTTTTTTTTTCTCTTTTTTTTTCCTACCTTAGCTAAAATCAGAGTAATGAGCTGCATCGCCTCGTATAAATTTAGAGGGAGGTAGTCTCACAGAAGCAGAAAGGCAGAGTGCGTTCGCAAATATTCAACCCCACAAGGAGCAGGTTTACAACTGAGCCGGAGCTGTGTTTACCTTTTCGCGAGAAATAATCCAATATTGGAAGCCGCGTTATGCCTCCACAAACTTCAGAGGAAAATACCCAACTCGTTGACTGCTAAGTGCTCCACTTCGCTCTGTGCCCGCATCCATTATGTCAAGTTTTTATTATGTCAGACCTGCTTCACAGATACCTAACCCCTAATAACAAACGACTGAAATATAACTGTTAACATCGCAGCGGTGGCAATACTCACTGTGAATTTAAGCTAAAAATGAACCAGTGCTGGGGGAATTGCTGAATTAATTCAAATAATTAGAGCTTTTGCAAAAAAATGAGAAAAAAATCTAGGAGGAAAAAAAGGCCTAAAGCGACAGCATCTTTTTTGTAGTTTCAGCACTAACAAAGGTTTCCTCAGAGACACCCGTGCACGGGAAACTTTGGAGGTTAACAACAAGCCATGGGTACAAGACGGATGCGGCTGACTATAATAAAACGCTAACAAGGAAGCCGGTCGTGTCACCTCGGTAATGTGGAAATGATTTAGTCGCGCAGGAAAAAAATACGACGGTACAGTCTTCAGTCTGTCAAAAGTTCATTTGAACTTTTATAGCACAAACTGGTGTGACATGAAAGGCGAATACATAAGCACTGTCATCTCATATCAGGTAGGGGGTAAAAAAAAAAAAGGAGCTGGGTTTTTTTGGATGCTCGTAAACAACTGATCTCAAACATGAACCAGATACCACGCAGAGAGAGTGGCGCCCACCTCGTTGTTGAATTGTGTTACTCCGGCCGATGGTATGATGACATAATGCACGGTCGCAGCCAAAATCTTATAAAGAAAACCAAAAAATACAAAAACTAGGCAGTTAACCATGCATGTAGGTGTCTAATGGACTCTATATGTAAAAACTCATACTTTTTATCATCCGTTCAAAGGGCTGAACATTATAAACAAACAGCGGTCGAGCCTGCTTAAGACCAAATGAATGGATAAATAAATAATACCAAGAAGCTATGAGCCATGCAAAAAGACATCAGTTTCTGTGCCACGGAGAGTATTGGTCTCTGCCTGACTTTCCCCCCCATAGGAGATTCCTGGCTCCATCCCCTGCCCAGAGTGTCCACATTTTTATCTGTGCTGTGGCAGAGTGAAGAGCAAAATACTGTTACCATATGCCCGGGCAAGCACTGACGCACTGCCGTGTTTCTATTCAAATCCTCTCCCGCTCTGTCATTATGGCTGGTCACAGATTTCCCAGACGTGGGAATTGGGATGTGGCGGTAGGCAGCCCGATAAATGGCTGCAGGACACCCGTAGAGGTCATGCATCGCCTGCCATTTTGAGCAAAAAAACCCCCAAAACCGACAAAAAACAAAAAAACAAAACACAGAAAGCAGGCTTGCCCTGTCTGATAGGTGACTACGTACTGAAAACTACCGGAAAGTTCCTTCCATGTCTGACTCTGCAGTATCCGCGCGGGGGTTAGGGCTTTCTCATTTTTTGACTGAGTCACGGCTGTGAACGCTTCAGATGCAAATGGTGTCAATTGGCATCAAAGGATCCGGGGTTCAAAGGAATCGTACCCACCACCACTGCGGGTTTTCCTCGGCTCATACATCATACATTACAGCTATGCCAATAATCACAGATTCTGTCTGGGATTATGGCGTCGGCGGAGAAAAGAGCAAAGAACACATGCTGCATGCATTTATTCATGCTTGTATACACACACTGCACTCCACGTCGGAGGCTGGGCACCCTGTCCTGCATTCTGCCCATTTAACACTCCCGTCTCCGTACTTCCGGGCTCGGATACTGCCAGTCAGCTGGAGTGATACTACACCGCTCGAGTGTTACTAGGCCGAGATGTGTTCTAGAGTCGGGGATTGCCTGGCGAGAGGTGTGGAGGAGGTGTACCGGTTTGTTAATGTGAGCACAGTTGAAAGGAAAAGCCTCTGACCCTGTGTGAGAGACTAAAAAAGAAACTCCTCACACCTTCGGTAAGGACTTTTTCCACTAACTTCGACTGTAAATCTTTTCCCTTTCCTTCCCCTAAAAAGCACTTTGTGAAGATCTATTCACTCAATTTTGCTGTTTTACTGTATTCATGTTAAGCATGACTGATGTAAACTACCATATTTGAAAATATCAGAATACTTTTTGTACTAATGGCCATTTAGGTGACAGGATTAATCTTTTGATTAAGTGCCAAGCTTGAGGGAGAAAAGGCAATATCATCTTGCGCAGACAACTATTCTAAATGTTGCTCTTTATCTTTAAATATAAGATAAGAGAGGGACGTTTAATTTATCAAAGTGGTAAATGTAGTCAGGAGAAAGGGGAAAAGGCTGATGGACTTACAAAAAGTTCCTGATTAAGTCAATTGATAATTAGAATAATTTCTCTGATGAAAAGATTTTTAACCCATTGCAGTGGCTATTTATCTCAATACCTAATCAGGGCTGATAGGAGGACAGCACCAGGGTCCACATGCTAATTTTCAGGGACGAGTACGGATTATTGTGTGACCAGAGACACACAAGTTTAACGTCGGTAAAGTCTCACTTGAAGGCTCTCCGATCGACCGCAACTTATTGCAGGCGAAGAAGAGAGTTTGGTCGCTTTTGGATGTATCTGAGACGACCAGTGGCTCCTTTTCTGTCCCCATCTGTGCTGGATTGACATTTACAGCCCAGTCAGAAATAATTCAGCAGACCGATTATCTCAAACAGTCTCGATTTGCAGAAACTGGGGTCTAACAAAGCCTGTAGATTACAGCATAATGCCATCCCTTCTGGTTGTTGTAGCTTACATGCCTATCTCCCCCTTGGGAGGAAGTTAGACTAACTGGACGCGTTTGGAATAGACAATAAACCCTTCAGCATTTTGTTTGTGTAACCGCATCTAAAAAGAACAAAAAAAAATCAAAGAAAGCTTCTCATGAAGTAAAAAGCAATGAAAGGAAAGGAAGCTGAATTTCATGAAAGTTTGCCATGTGAGATACTTTCAGATCACTTTGTTTTTGGGCAGACGGGGAGCTACCACAGTCCAGGTCCAGGGAGGGGAGACAAAAAACAAGCATAAGAAGAGAATTAAGAGATCCAGTCCAGGTGCTGAGGTGGATGGAAGGGCTGCGATTTCAAATCGAGGCCTGCCCGGCCGGAGGAGTTAAAATCCCAGACCGATCCCGCTTTGTTATTTCCTCTTACCTGTGGTGCACTATGTAAGTGATGATGGAGGCGAAGAGGCAGAGCAGCATGACTGCCGTGCAGGCATACACGACCGGGTGCAAAAACTCCCCAGGGTACGGGGGGAAAGACAGCACCTTCTTCAGATCCTGCAACAAAAAAAAAGAAGAAAAAAAAAAAGATTGAGACGAGAGAATCAACCTAAAGACATCTTAAATACAGGATCATAGAAAAAAATAATCAGTGTGAGGAGACGTGGCTCGCGTGGCGATAACATATCGGACAATTAGCCCAAAGAGGGAGATAACCGGATCTCCAGATGCAGCTCGAGGAAACGTGGAGTGGGAAAATGGCCGTCCGCCTTTCTGGCGTTGAACCCAGCAACAAAAGCCCCAAAAATCTGCCAGCCGTGGAAAAAGAACAACAAGAGCAGACCGGAGGCCAGGCCGGCTGATAAGGGAGGGAACAAGATTAATCTGCTGTAATGCCCCCTAAAAGTCGTTTTTTTTTTGCCGACGGATGTTCATTATGGACGGAACCGGCCGGCTCGCCCTGTGATTTACTGCCCGCGACGTCATCGAGACAAAGCCGAATTCTGTAGCGTAGCTTCTCAAAAGCCACGGCCGACAACTTGGAGTCTTATTCATGACCCCGAAACTGAGCATTTAGAGGTGCAGGTGTAAAGCAGCGAGAGAGAGAGAGAGAGCTGAGAATGGGAAGGTTTGGAGGACGAAACACTTGAGGGATGCCGAAACCTCATGGCCCCGGTCTGAGCAAGAGCGCGCCCCGGGAAGTGCATGCAGCAATGCAGAGATTTGAAGCAAAAGTGAATATAAAAACACAGAATAATGGTGATCGCAAAAAGTCAAACTGGCTCCGAACGGTTTCCCTGCGAAGCCATTCGCCAGAGAGGCGTTGGCTCAGCTCAAATTGATGTTCTCTAGAAACGGGAATAAATCGCCAATGCTGTTGTGTGCTCAGACACATGTCAAGCGTTGAAATGCTGTTCACTTTTTGGATTTTCACTGAGTTTTTCCTGTTAAAGTAGGGATTTCTTCCTCTCTCTCTCTATCTGTGTTGGTTTCATTCAATTTGCTCTGTTCGAATCGGTTTAATTTGGATTTTAATTCATTTGATTGCGTTATAATTGGCTTGAATTGCCCTTTTTTTGGTTGTGTGGTATTGAGATGACGAGCCGAATTGCTTTGAATTAGATCAGACACTCCGAAGACGCTCCAGCAATAAAGTTATCGTTTTTAAAAAAAACCTGCATGTTCTGAATGTAATTACACAAATTGGCTACTTCCACACCCAAATTAAGCAAAAGGTTTGTCGATCTCTGCTTGAACAACGGCTGTTAAGAGAATTCACCTGTGTGCAAGACTGACAGGCTTTAAAGAGATAACGGACTGTGAGGTCCACCCAGGCAACCAGAGCCAATAAGCCTCAGGACACAAAGACATGGAGGGGAACAAAGGGCACGAAAAAGGCTCCTGCCGGGTTCTAAAACTCGCCGCCAGTTCACCCTGTTGGGCGAGGCTATTGTTAAATCGGTCAGAGATTGATATCTTCAGCCGCTAAATGCTTTACAATGTTCACTCGCTAAAAGCTAACTCGTCCCATCTGCCGTTCGGTGCAAGAAAGGAAAAGCATTTTTTTTTTTTTTTGAGTTTTGAAAAGAAGACATTGATGTTGGAAAACCAAAACGTCATGTCTGTATGTCAATAATTTAGATTTAATATCTAGGGATGGATAATAGGGGAGCTATTTCATTCCCTAGCGGACAAGTAGTTCTTAATTTCACAAGCTTCTGAAAGGTGGCTAAACAAAAGGTGGCATCTCAACAACTTGGAACAACAACAACAAAAAAACACTAAGCTCACAATCATTTCAAAAGCTAAAAGCCAATAGTAACCAACAAAGGAAACTCAGCTTCTGACAATATAGAGTATCGACCAGGAAAAAAACGTGCAGATAGAAGGTACAAGAGGTGAAAATGCAATGGGAAAAAAAAAAAAACACTTCAAGAGTCATCTGCTTAAAATGCTTTTTTTTTTTTAACGAGGCAAAGATGCTAATCTAAAGTTGCTTCAAATACAATGGTCTATTGTGTTACATATCCTAGTGATGCATGCACTTAAATAGGGGAGTAGACTTCATGTTTTACACTGAGAAACATAACCCACGTGAATATTGACTTCACTAAAGGGCAAGGAAAAAAAAAAAGGTTTCCTTGGAAACTGCCATCCCCGCTGCATGAAAACAAACGTGAGCACGAAAAGGCATTGAGGAGTTAAATGTGAAGCTGGGCATAACATGGCGAGTGGCAGCGGTGCCAGTTTAATGGCTCTTGGTGTGAGAGGGTGAAGCCAAAGTGTCTCACGGGCCCGTTTTATCACGGGGGGGGCTTGTGCCGTACGCTTAGACTGTCTCACCTCCGAAGTCCTTAACTGTTACTTAAGCTGGCAAACAAAAGCTCACAGCTGTGTGCTGAGCTGCTTCTCTTCAAGAAAAGAGACAAAAACTACAGCAAAAACAAAGGCCAAAAAACAATTTTCAGCAAAACACAATGACAAGGGTTTTTTTTTTTTTTGTAGAGGTGGGCAGCTGTAAGAATTAGTGCAATACAAAATGGACACTGATTAAAAACCTAAAAGCCCTGCTAAGTGCAGCATGTACCGTCCCCCACTGAACAAAGACAGATTACCATCGCCATCCCAGCTGAGCTGTACACAGAGGAGCTTAAAAATCAAGTGAAAACTGACCTTAAAAAATGAAGGCTGACTGAAAAACGAATTTTTGAAATACCCATAATTATGTTTGTTTCAACCACAATTTGAAAAAAGAAATGGTCGCAAACCTGGAGCTTGATCTCTGTGCAGGTAAAGGTCTATTCATATTGTAAGTGGCCACTAAAACTCAAAAGGGCAAAGGTCACCCACCCCATATCCTCCAAAATTCCATCTTTTTGTAAAAAGCAAACAAACAGCAAGGCTGGTCTGTATATTAATAGCAACACATTTCAAATAAAGCTTCTTTCAATCACAAATTCACACTTTTTTGCCCACAGTCGATGACAGTATCGTCAGACTGTCGCTCTGCTCTAATAAAATCCTGATTCATCTGCGAAGAAAAATCACCATTTCAGCAAATTAGACAGCCTCTGTGAATCGGTTTTGCAACTTACATATACGGTGATCTTTCTAAGTTCCACAGTTCCACAAGTTCTAACCATAACTTTACACAAAAGTGCATTTTACCACTCTGTTGGTTGAAGCCATCTGAGTTATGACGTGACAATGAGACCAAATCTGCCCAGAATACAGCACCACATTATTGAGAGAAAAAAAACCTGAGAGAGAGTGAATAAAAACCCTTTTTCGGCTCCTGCGGCGGAGGCAGCTCACTCGCCAACAGCAGAGAAAGTGCTGTTTTAGAGGGGAGCACAAAGTACTTTAAAATGAAAGGGGGGGGGGGGGAACGTCGGAATGGAACATGAATGCTCTGCAGCCTTTACCTGGAGAGATAAAATAAAAAAATAAACAACTCACAGCGTGCAGAGCGGAGGAAATAGAAAAGCGGGTAAGAAAGGAGGAGAAACGAATGGAGATTGCGCCCCTTTTTTTCCAGGATGGATCGGCCCGGGACTAGACACTGAAGCGAGGTGCGCGGAACAGATTCCTCACACGGCTTTAGAACCAGCGTTTAAGCACCCGGGGGCGATATCCTTCACCTAATATTAACCGGAAAAGCCGACATCCCGGTATATCTGCCTGGCGTTTTCCACGGCACTGCATTCAAAGTTATGTGCCGTGCAACAGATACAAGACAGAGGTAGCGGTTCCCTTGTTGACCCGGCTGTCAGGATGACTGATGGGCTATTGGCGTAGCCCGCAGCGAGCTCTGAACATCTCCTCCCCGCTGCACTCTTTTCCGCTCGCAGGCTGTCAGCAAAAGCGCAGCGGCAGCCCGCCACCAATGTGGCTCCCCCACTCCGGCTATGATCATTACTGCCATTATATTACATCACAGCGCCCTGACCACTTTATTACCCCGTCTGAGTGACGGCGTATAATGCGAGCGGCCGCGTCACCACTCGCCCTGTTCTGGATTAGCCGTGACATGTCAGGTTCTGGTTCAGGTTCAGGTTCAGACGTGTCCGCGTTGTCCTCGTGTCGCCGCGGCTTAAAAAAAAAAAAAAAAGTTGAAAAAGCCCACTTGATCCCTTGTTTGTGTTGTGGTTACAGTTGTAATCGGGCATCCTCCGTGCCAAAATCAGATTACCGGAGTCAATTAAAGCTGATCCGTGATGTCGCACGGGCGCTAGGCAGCCATGTTTCAGGCCCGCAAAATAAAATGGGACAAGCCACGCCGCGGGTCAGTGCACACCAACAGGCTCACTGACGTGTTATAAGTGGTGACCGCTCATGATGATGATGATGATGATGATGAAGAATCCCACAAAGAACCCTAAGGTTCTTGTGCATTTCCTGCTTTTTTAGTGGTTGATTTTGTTGACTAGCCAGTCTTCGAGTTTTTTGTTTTTTGTTTTTTTTCAAACAGTGTGGGGAAAGAGGAAGGAAGAGGAAGAGAAGCCAGAGAAAAAAACAAAATTAAAATCCTCTGGTGAACGGCCCGCTGGGCCCCGATCTGAGCCCCCCCCCCCCCCCCCGCCGCTGTTTTTCTTCATCATTGAGTGGCTGTCCCGGTGCCGGAGAGCGCGTGCAAATCAAACCTACCCACGACTCGCCCTCCCCCAGAGAAGGAGGTAGACAGGATGGTAGCGAGGCAGAATGAAAAAGAAAGAAAACAAAAAGGTCACACGCCATTACCGCTGGTCATCAGGACTTCGGTGGTTAGCTTTTGGCCGTCACTTAGCTCCTCCTAACCAGAGCCTGGCCCCGTGGCCGTCCAGCAGTGGAGGCAAACAAGGTTTGAACGAACGCACGCACGCACACATCCGTCAAATCAGCATTGTGCGTGGATGAGAAACTCGGAATAGAAGACAAAGCCCCTCCAGACAAGGGCTGCAATTTTGATCTGCGCGCTGCTTTTATCTCCTCAAACATCGGGGAGTATAGTCTCATTAGCATTAATTTCTCAAGGGCTACAGATTAGACTTGTTGTGTTTGGCTTAAGGCTGTTCGGATTCTTATGGAGAGGTCGCTGGTCGCCGCTGGTTGCTGCTTAAAGGCTGACTGTCAAATGGATGAGCCTCTCGCTAGGGCACAACCTTGTGGACGAGACAACAAACTGGACTTCTTCTGTCTGCCAGACACAGAAGTGATCAATACAATCAGAAGTGAGTGCCCCAAGAAGGCTGGTATTTAATGGAATGACTAATATCTCTCTCTTTCTGCTGCTTCTTATTGGTGCTGCAGAGATGCATGCCCCTCGGCTTCCCTCGCATTTGGTTTGGATCACGTCTGATATCCATCTTAGGGATTTTTACAAGGATTGTGTGGTAGTTGGCACCATCTCTTCATATCAAGAGGGTTCTGGGTTCAAGTCCCCGGGGGAACCAGGACCTTTCTGTGTGGAGTCTGCATGTTCTCCCTATGTCTGCATGGATTCTCTACGGATTCTCCAGCTTCCTCCAACCGTCTAAAAACCTGCATGTTAGGGACTGGATTGGACATTCCAAATTGCCCTTAGGAGTGAATGTGAGTGTGTGTGGCTGTTCATCTTTGTGTGTCTCTGTGTGGCCCTGCCTCTAACCCATTGAATACCGGGATAGGCTCTAGTACCCCTGCGACCCCGTCTTGGAAGAAGCGGTTCAGAGGGATGGACAGGATTGTTACAACTCATCGCAAAATGTAACGAGTTCAACAAAGACATCTCAGGTCACCAAGCAACTTTGAAGCCTGGAACCTTTTGCAATCCAAGAAGCAGCACGGTCTGCTTCATGGACATTCTACAGATGAGAGAACTGTGGAGAAAAACTAAAGAACCTCCCCACACACAGGTCACAACGTAGCTCGCGTTCAAACTGCCAAACCCCCTCTTAAGTGCGTTTTGTTCCAAATGGTGTCAAATCAGTTCTTCCGGTTGCTTACTTCTAAGTATCTTTGAGCTCCTCGAAAAACTCTCAGATTGTCCAAACTAAAGAATCTGAGCCAAAGTGAACTAGAGAGGTGTCCTGGTGAAGGTCACTCAGAATGAGGACCATGGAAAGCAGATGTTCAGCATCCGAAAGGACTTACATCTCCATTTAAATAATAAAAAAAGTGTTTCTGGTCATTCTTGTTTAACACCTCATTTTGGTTTTGGTATATCCGTTACGTCAACATTTTCAACTGAAAAACACCCAAGTCCCTTCATGTGCATCGGCCAGCTACTAAACAGATAATGCCTTTTTTATAGTTATAGTTTTGCTCCCAAAATGCCAAATTAAGGGCTGCAAAGATTTACATATGGTTCTCCTATGTTTCTTTGCTCTTCCATGAGTTAACAAACAAACCTGACCCTGGTCCTGTCCATCTCAGCAGTACTTATAGGTAGCCACTGTGGATGGACTGAGTCTTCATAGCTTTAATGGCAGAAAATTCAATTGGTTTTTCTGAAAACCAACATTCTGAAGAAGCCTTTCATGACAAAGCTTTCACATCTGCTGTCTCCGTTTGTCTCCCTGGATTACATGACCTAAATGATTTAAGCGTCACACTTGCCTACTGGAACTTCATCAAACAGCACAAAAGATGAGCATTTCGCGGCTACCGTTTTGTTTGGAAACATAAACTCAGTCTGCATGGAGGCCTGCGTCATAAATCACATTACGAATCACATTACCTAACACTTCATGCCAATTGTGTTAACTAGACTCAACAACTGGACCAATGCAGTACTGAGGACTTTTTGATATTTAGCAAAACAAAGAGCATCTTTAATCAATTGCATTTTTTCTTAAAACATACCTCCAGATACATTTAAAACAATGAAATTAAAAACTCCAGATACAATAGAGAGACATTAAAGCTTTTGTTTTAGAAGCTTGAGGTTTGCGAGGTGTCTAATATGCCACTGTCTAATCTATTTCCAGTGACTGAGGACCTGAAGATCTTTAAGAAAAGAATGGTTTCTAGTTTCCTCTTGTTTCACATCAGTCAGAGATTAATCTTGGACGTTGGAGTTAACAGCCATTTTGAAGAGGGCGGGGTTTAACGATCAAACTCCTGCGTGCTTTAAAGAATAAAAAAGGAAAAAAAAAGAGGATATTTGCCTTTCGTACTCTGGTGAGCTACACCTCCATGCCCATCACTGCCGCTTCCTCACATCAGTTTTTATGCGGAGGAGCTTTGAAACACAGATTACTCATAAAAAACTTAACACCACCCAACTTCCCCCAGCACACATCGGCACGGGGGCACTCAACAGATGAGGCTGACTGCGAGAGACAGGACAATGTGAGCCGTCCACACAAATCTAGTTAAACAGGTTGTAATGCGCTAAGAAATAACAGACTGTGACAGAGAGTAAAGACTGCATAGATTTGTTGAACGGAGCTTTGACACCGTAGCATCTTCTAGTCTAGTCGCGCTGGGATAACCAGCAAGCAAAAACCTGTCAACCACAGGAAAATGGGGGGGCCAGGGGACGAAAGACATGATATATGGCTCCCAGCTTGTAAAGAATTAGTACAGGACACAAACATCATCTGTCCTAAATAGCACTTGGAGAATCACAATATTTTCCACCCTTCCCTCTCCAGCCTGCGGGATGATGAAAGTAAAATGGTAGCCGCCATGGCAACCTGAGATTAGTTTCACGTGGGGGATTTGGTCAACCCCCGGCGTCGGACTCGAGCCACGAAAAAAACCCTGCCCTCTTGGACTCGCCAGAAAAGCCTCCGTCACCCCGGGGGCGCGGGAATCAATGGGAAAACGAATCGGGAGGGAGGGGTTGCTTTAAAATGCGGAGAAAGGAGAGAACGGGATCGGACTAACCTTCTCGCTCATCGTCTTGACGCGAGTGCAGATGCGAGTGAGCGAGTGAGTGAGCGAGTGAGTGAGTGAGTGAGTGAGTGAGTGAGTGAGTGAGTGAGTGAGTGAGTGAGTGAGGGCAGGCAGGTGTTGTCTGAGGGGTGACTCATCTCTCCTCGTTGCTACACGATGTGTATGCGCCTGCACATACGCTCAGAGCCACAGGCGCGGATACAAACTCTCACAAGGGGAGAGGGGTGTGTGTGTGTGTGTGTGAGCACACGCATGCACACTTCGGCCTCTTTTACACACACACACGCACTCTGTTTTGGCGTGAGACTGCAGCTTGGTTTCGGTTAACCCTTAAAGACGCACCGTCCACCAGACCTCTGTGGAGGTCTCTGCCGGTAAAGCTTTATCCCATGTGGTTTTTCTCGGCCACAGCATTCACCGAGGCCTTTGTCTGACACGCACACGCGCGCGCACACACACATCTGTTGTTGTAAACCCTTTTTTTTTAATGCTCTGTCTCTCTCCGTCTCATCTATAAACCCCTAACTGCCCTTTTGAACACCGGCTCTCTACATAAAAAAAGCGGCCACATAATGCCGGGCACTTGATGACTCTATTGCCATCGCCATAGAAACCGCGTTCTTACCACAGCTTTTTTGGAATGAGAAGAACATTTGCAGGTGAGGTGGTCTGACCGCTGCCTCCCTGAGAGGCAAAAGCCAAAAGAAAACAAAAAAAAAGGCGCATAAAAACGACCTTGTCATGATGACGGGAAGTTAAAAACAAACAGGATTGCTGGACAACCGAGCCCCTTGACCGTAGCAGCGTTTAGACCCTTGAGACAGACACACTGAAAGAAGGGAGTGAATGAATGGAAAGAAAGAATAGCTATCTTGATGTTAACTGCTTTTGGAAGGGGACTACAAACTGAAAAAAAGGGTTATGGGAAAAATGGGGAGACGAAGAACCATGGCATCGCGCGGGCAAAAAAAAAGAAACACAGACAGATGGAGAGACGAGGACAAATAATTAAACCATTAGCCCTTCAGCCTGAGAGGGGACGGCATGTCTGACTCAATCTCTCCCTGGGTCTCTCTCCCGTTCCTTGCATCCCCGCTACCGCGATGCAATTTTCCTCCATTTCTGATTACAGATTGCTCGTGGTGATCTCAGCCCGGTTCCATTTTGCCGTCTGACAGTTGTGCTATCCGTGCCATTTAGACCTAAGCGATCGCTCCGTCTCCGCGACCGGCAATTTTACATGTTTGCATCTCCTTATGGGCTTGTGAAGGAGGAGCAGAATTGGGAGCGTCCAGATTAGCTTTCACCTTTGGTACCGGAGCACATCGCTCACCCGTTGGAAATAACGTCGGAAGGGGTTTCTGACGGTTTCTCCGAGGCTGAGGCGCAGAATTCAGAGACTGCACGCGTGCATAAATCTGATGGGGAATGGCTTCCATCTGAAGGAAGTTCTGATTTCATCTGTCAAGTAAACACTGTTGCGCTCTGCCGCTCCGCGGAGCATCTTAATCTTTGTTTCAGCTATCATGCGAATTCGCCTAATTACCTGCTGAGCCCCCTCAGCTGGGATCTTGGACTCATACTGAGGCACTCCCAGGCTTGTTTGATCAAAGTCACTTCACTGACTGCTTTCATTAGATGTCGTAGCTTGATTTTTTTTGTAAAGAGGAGGGCCTCTTATACAGTATGCGAGCGTGATCACACTATCCAGTTTTTTTTTTCCTGAGCTGAGAACATTTGAAAGAATTTTGACCTGGTTTCCTGGTACTGAAGCATATTTTATTTTTTTGCAATGACCAGTGCAAGCATCTCTTGAAAAGAAAAGAAAAAGGAACGCTTTGCACACCTGTGTGGTATTTTGGAGCCAAGCACCGTGATTTCAGGTGTGCGTGGGGGGAGGGGGTATTCACAGGGGGTTCGTTCTACTGAAGCAGCACAGAGAAAATTGCCATTACTTGTAATTCGTTTTTTCTTCCTGGCACAACGTCATTACAGCGGGAACGCGTGAAACGCTCTGACGACATGCAAGGCCATGAGAAAAAAAATTGGAAAGACAGTCATTTTAAGATTTGGAGAGGGGTAGTGCAGAAAACAACGCCCGCTTCCACTGCAGCGGGAAAAATGGCCGCTAAAAGGTGTTTGATGCCAGCAAACTCCTGGCCGTAGTTGTGTGGTCAAGCTAACCCCTGAAGACATAGCACCCATCAACCCCCCGTTCCGTCATGACAAAGGAAGACGAGAAAACTGTTCATCTGTGACGCATCGCCACCATGGAGGTCTTCTAACTGGAGCAGGAGTCAGAAAATCTTTTGGTTGCCTGCAAAAAAAAAAGAAAAAAAGCCATCCTCCGTTTGTCCGGCGCTGGTGGTCAGGCCTCACTGTCAGGACAGTGGGAATTTACCACACCCTCTGATTGCTATTCACCGGTGGTCTGTCCTTTAGCACGTCGCGCTGCAGCCTCTGCAGCCTGCCCCCCCGTGCACCATCCACGTTTGCTTGCATGATGGGGTGGGGCCGCGTGGAAAGATCTCATTTCTGACCAAACCTCCCCTTTTCGGGAAGAACTCAATGTCCCCCGTCCTCGTACCCCTCTGAGACCGGTCTCTGAGCCGCGTCGTGTTTGGCCCCTTCGTGACGCGTCCTGTCGGAAAGAGCGGGAAGGGGCCGAGTGAGCAGCTCCGTCTGTGGAGCTGTCTGTCCCACACACAGTGCCGGCAGGAGGCCGTCGTGTGACAGGTGGTGATTCGTGATTGAAAATGAAAGGGGAAAAAAAAAGGGAAATTACGAACAACTAGCAAAGCTGGGTTTAATCCAAAGTCCTTGGCAGCTCAATTGTACTTCTTCTTGTATTAAAGAATCTGTGTACGACATGGGTTCCTGATAGAATTCAAAGATTAATATGCCGACTCAGCTTCAATTCATCTCCAAACTGGGTTGGTAATACAATCATCTCTTTCGGAGCCGTTCATTGTGAAAGGTAAGGTTTAGTTGGATAAAATGACACAACTCGAAAACCAATCATTCATTTCTACCTTGTGGTGCTCTGTCAGACCTTGTGGACCCCCCTAGGTGTATCTATATTACATCTCAGAGTGGCTACATCTGTCTCCTTTAAACACCAACAATGACCTCTGGTGACTCGCGGAATTGGAAGTCAAGCATGCTCGCTACACCGCCTTCCATGTGTTTTATGCCTAAAAACTTCTGCTATGTTTCTTGTTAAATTTAGAAGATTGTGAAAGAACCTGTGTTTTCGCTCTTGAAGTCTTTTTTTTAAAGGAGACTTGGCTGATGTGTGGTTCTGAAGAGCGTCAAACACAAGACTGGCTGTCAATTTTTTTTTTTTCCTATATGGCCTAAAATATGTTGTGTTGACTCACCACAGTGGTTTTCATTTGAAGTCTAAGAACTGAAAGAGTAGCTTCCGAATGCAAATAACACACTTTCAATGAAGACGTCACCAAATAACGCGCAGCAGATTTTGAGTAAACCGTTCAAACCCATTTTTCATTTATGGAAAAAAAAAAAAAATCTAAAGAGTTTTGCGAGACCCCGGTTTGCATTTGCCTGACATGTTAGACGCAACCCCACCCCCACCCCCCAACAACCACAAACACACACTTCAACGTCTCATTTTCTGCTGCCCTTATCTTTCTGCCCAAAATACACGGAGGACCACTTTGCATTAGCTGTTGCTCCTTAATTAAAAGTCCTGCAAAGGCCAGCAGCTGCAGCTCCACACCTCAGATGAAACTGGGCCCGGCTGTGCGCTTAAATGCTGGCTGAGAGCAATTAACTTTCATAAACAGACAGCAAAACAAGGTAAAAAAAAAAAAAAAAGGACTTCCTACAGTGTCCTTTCGACATCGATCAGAAACTTGACTTTGAACTTGGCCTAGAGGAGATACACATGCTAATCGCTGCTAGATGGTGGTGAAAAGAAGCAGCAAATGTGGAGATGGACTGCTTTTATAAAGGCACAGAAAAAGCAAAAAGGAACGCGCTCGTCTTAACTGCACAGCATTGGGGGGCTGAAAGGCCTTAGCCATGAGCAATATCGAATCGAATGCCAAATTGTGATGTAAATAGTTTTTTTTATGAGTATGATGACTGTTCGGTCGACACTGTGTGTACCAACACTGTTCCGGGAGATGAATCATTTGTGTCAGATGGTCCCCCTTCGTATGAAAAAGGACAAGCATCCCTTACAATTTGAACGATTTATGACTAATCCTGGATGGAGCGACTGATGTTTGAAAGTCCATAGAGCAAAGCCATAAAAAAACAAAAACAAACATGTATCTACAAATTTTATTGAATTTTTCAAGCATATGTGTGCCTAATTCATCAATTTGGGAGGAACACTAAAAGTCAATATATCTTCATTAACGATGACCATTCTTCAGGACGGATGTTATAAATTCCTAGCGAGCAGTACGACTGTGCATCAAACCCTCGCTCAGTATTGGCTGCCAAATAATGGGTGAATGGATCTCAGCCTCATCAAAAACTGCGGGACCACCGAACAGGCCATTAACTTTCTCCATGCACAGGCGGGCACGCATCAAGAGCAACAATTCCTTCTGCTGCCGGCAGCATCGTTCTAATCTTTCACGCTCTTAGCCGAGGAGCCTTCGCGATTCAAATCGCAACCGGTTCAATGCGATGCGATGTGCACACGGGCTAAAAGGGGGGGGGGGGGGGCGCAGGCGGCGTCTAAAGCGGGGCGTCCGATGCAGAGCACGAGCATCACACGTCAGGACGCTGGCCAGCAGCAATCTGTTGTGAGAGCGGCGTGAGCCAGGCCCCTTCCTCCCTCACACGGTAGCAAATCTCCACTCTGTAGTCGGCAAACGCTGAGAGGCTCAATCAGAGCTGTAGTAACATAAAAAATCTAAATAAAATACAGTCTGTGGAGATGTCTGGATGTAGCGAGCACACGTCTAGACATTAGTATCCATGTGTTAAAGTGGCCGAGGCAGACATCGAAATTCCGTCTAATGCTCCCAAACAGAACATGTGGGCACTCATCAAATATTCACCAAAGCCAAAAGCTCAACTCGCGAGCGGTCGAGTTGGCACGACACGGACCAAAAAGTGAGCGCCGGGGCAGCTGGTTAAGTCGTCTGACGTGGATTAGCCCCTCGCCTGTCGCCGGCAACATTCAGAAAAAGTACGAGCGAGGCGAAGGGCGAGAGGTAGCCGGTGCTTAGCGGGTCCGCAAATGGTTAGCAATTTACTCAGAGGATTAGCGTAAGCCGCACAAATGTGACACGGCATAGCAGTAACGCAAACACACATTATGCGTCGGTGACACTGTCAAGACTCGGTGGCCTTTGCTGTTACATTTGTGGTCCGTTTTGTCATTAGCGAATCATATTTATCCTTTTTCGATCATGCAGTCACGGCTGCGGATTTAATAATATCCGTAGAGTAGTATCTAAATTCACACTAAGGGGATGCCTTTTGGAAATATGCAAACCAGCTCTCATCCAACATGAGCTGGATGAGACGACTGATTGCAATCACATATTCTGTCTGTTATGAAGTGAGGATAGCGCCAAAGGGTTGGCTCAGCATAGCTCGACTGGAAATATAGGTGAAGAGATTGTGAAACATTGAGTCTATGTCTATGTCATAAAGTAACACAATCCATCTCCAGCAGCAGTAAGGAACTTGCTTAGTAACGTACTATAGAACATATCTAGATGTATACTCTACTCTGAAGTTCAAATGTGGGGCTGCTTGCTGTTTGGAGAGTCAGGGGAAAACTACCGACTTCCAAGCTAAGCTAACCACAGAAGACTGAACAGTCACTAAACAATATAACTCAAACCACTGGGAAGTTCACAGCATCGAGTGAAACTCCCATCGAGGATGATTACCGTTTACTAAAAACAAAGAACGCGAGTGTTGATCCGCATCATTGAGTGTGCGACCAATGGGAGAAGAACATCTCCTTCCCATAGCTGCTGGTATCTTTAAATTGAACCGGTTCAGCTCCATTCAGCACCCACAGAGCACGCAATGGTGCACCGCAACACGGATGCTCTTGCAGTTGAGAAACGAATAAAGTAAATAACTATATGTACTATGTGTACAAGCCACTAAAAATAGAGT